TGGGGGAGGCTGACAGCCCTTCTGACAATTCTCTGGCACACTAACTTCCCTAGGGGCCAGCTAGAGCTCTGCAAGGCATTCTCTAATTAAGGCTTTAATGGCCTTAGTACCCCAAGCCTACCCGCTGCCCCTCAGATTTGAATTTTGAATCTCCTTCAAGCTAGATCCTGGGTAAACCCATCTGTACCATTCAAAGTCACCAACATCAGACGGCTCAAAAGAACCCCAAAACTTGCATCTTCTTCTCTATCTACGGTCATCGGAGAAGCAACTCGCGTGTCCGTCTTTTGATACCTCTCTGCTACCGAAAAATCGGGAAGCTCACTTTCGCCGAAATCTTCCAGGATTAACGTTTTGGAGCAATTCGAACTCTCCTTGTCTCCTTTAAGGACATCGCGAGACAGCCCTTCTCCACCTCTCCAACTTCGAACAGACAGCAGAACTTCTTGCCAGATCTGAACCGTGAAGACCACTTCCCCTGCCACCACTTCAACCTTGCTTGGAATTTGGTTTCGCTTGCGGATTTTCATTCTTACCCACTCGCAGGTCGCAATCTCCAGCGGGGAATCGTCCGTCTCTGTAAAACCCCCACAAGCATCCCCAATAGCCCTTATGACACTTGGGCACCAGAGCAGGAGTGGCAGGCCATAAACCCTAATCCAACATGACTCCAGGTCCTCTCCTACTTCGAAGGGATCAGGGTAATGACATCCCGCACTCGCCCCCCACCAATCCAGCAAAAGGGGGTTTCTTCCCATCTGCCACAGACCTTGTCTTAAAACCCAATCCGCACCAGCTCTTGACAGACAAATAAAGAGGAATAGACCATCCGCCATTTTCTTCACTCTCACACCCCCACCTCTCTCCAAACGCCGTTTGCCCACCTCTCTACCTCCTTAATCTCTACCCCCCATCGGAACCTACCCACCAAACAGCTCCTCAAAAACTCTCTTCTCGCAGTCACCCCCTGAGGATCCATTGCTACCACCCTATTACCATTAACCCATTTCACCTCTGACTCCCCAAAAGTAGGCCAAACCCCCGCCACCACCACTTCTCTATAAGAAATATTGCATCTTACCCTCCCTCCGTTCTCCAATCTACGGAACCAGGCAGAAGCTTCCCATCTTCGCTTCCCCCCACCTGCTCTATTATAAGAGAATCCACGCTCCATCAATAACTTCAGAAAAGAGACCCTTCAACAGCGAAGCAGACTGAAATCATCACTGCATTGAAAAAACCCTTCATATCCACAAATCTGGTGTCGTCGTTGGAGAAGAAGGCGATGTCAAGTTTCTGGTAAGCATAAGTTGGACCATGATAAGCCTTGATAAAATCTGATTTAGTTTCATCACCAAGAGCGGAATAGTTGCATCTTGCATGTGTACCTCTTCATGCATAACTCAAGGTGGTGCCCATGGAGGGTTGCCTTGCTTAAGCGCCTAGATATTTTGTACATGATGCTATTACAGATTCTTATATTCTTACCTTTTTGAGATTATAATTGTAAAATAGATATTAGTAAATCCACATTATTCATTATATGAGTTAAAATACTAGTTTTTTCATTATATTCTTTTTTGTTATCAACACTCATGTTGGTTTATACTGTCTTGAACCCTTGAAGTTTTCAAAGCCTGAACCTATAAGAAAGGAAGAACTTAAAATTTTGTCCAATCAACATATTCTTCTTTTCCCATGCTTTTTTTTCACCCAGGACAAAAGCAGGGGCTCAGCCCTTTATCTTCTGAATTTTCTTTTATTTCTTCTTTTTCTTATCATGAATATGTTGATTTTTATATGTTTTAATCTGAAGTCCATACATTTTTTTTTATGAAAATATAGATAATTACTAATGAAAGATGGTTGCTGGTTGCTATGGAACCTAGGGAATTACCCTAGGATTCATGGTTTTTATTTAAAAAAAATCCATTGCCTAGGTGATGCCTAGACAGCCACCTAGGCGACAAGGCACCTCCCTGTTGCTTAGCCTTGCCTTGGTGCCATGAAAACTATGATTCAAAGGACTTAGGATTAACCTGGTGCTGGTAGGTGACAAGATGAGGGAAAGTTAACTGAGATGATTTGGCCATGGGATCAGATGGCTGATTAGTCAATTAGTGGACCATAATGAGTTACTTTGATGCAGTAGCTGAAGAGTCAAAATTGGAAATTTCTGAAATTTTATGTATATCTGCATTTTTGGGTAACAAGGGTATTTTTGTCACTTAATAATTTATGTGGGGTCATTGAAGTTCTTTGTGACTTTTGGAACATAAGTGTGTTTGTCTTCCACTTGTAAATTTTCTACTGATGAATTAATGAAAGTGTTATTGATAAAAAAAAAAAAAAAATTATGTGGGGTCCAATGACAGGGTCTGATTTGTCTTCTTTTAGTTTGTTTATGTTTAAAGTTTCAGAGTCATTGAATGAGTAGGATTAGAGTTATTAGGTCTTCTTTGAATTGAAATAGGATAATGGCAATTCAGTTTGAGTCGTACTAGGATTCTTATGAGTGTCTAATAGTTTGAACCCTAGGATTATTATGTGTCTAGAGTCTATTAATATATATGGACGTTATACACAAAGATCAATGGAATCGATTGAGTTTTCTTGAGCTTATGCTGATTATGGTGAGTGATTCTAGACACCTTGTAAATGATTCCGGGTATTCTCTCTCTAGAGTCTCTACCTCTCTATTTTCCTTTTCATTTCTTCAAATAGCCATTACAGCCTCAACAACAATAAATTTCTGATCAAGGAATATTATTCAACATTCTCAAAGGGATGGAATTGAGCTGTTCCTACATCATACTCTGTGCAAGTATAGGATAGGGTTCTAAAAGAGAAAGGAAAGACTAAAGAAAATGTGAGCTGAAGTAAGAAATGATCCAAGGATTTAAAAAACAGAAAAAATAGATTCTTGATAGAGCACAATGATGGGACAGGATTTACGTAGCTGACCCCAAATAGTTGGGATTAAATCTGAATTAAGTTGAGTTCGGGTGGATTAACAGCTATGGTGGCCTCTCCTTTTGATGGCCGGAAGAGATGCTATACTACCACTGCCTATGGTTGAAGTGATCCATGCTAAATACTTATCATCCCCAAAAAAGTGATCCATGTTAACTGACCAACCAGCACTTGATTTTGTCTTTATTTTCCGCTTATGAAGGATTAAACTAATTGATAGTCTTTTTGATGTCCTGGCAAATGTGATACCACTTGCGTAGGACTAAGAAGAAAGCATCCAGATTGGCATCTTTATGTGATGGGGACCAGTCCAGGCATTATAAGACCTATTCTCGTAAGAAGGCCAACAAACAAGTTCTGATTTGTCACGGGGAAGACTCTTGGGACTTGGACTGATCTGATCAGGGACACTTTCGTCATTTTGACCACCCCTATGTGGACCTAGGCCATAGCATCTTGTTCTTCTAGTTTGCTAGGGCTTAGCTTTCAATATTTATCTTATTTGGTAGAAAGTTATTGTCTTTCTTGATGAACAAGACAAAGAATGGCAATTGTGTAATTATTATGAACAGTATTCCTAGCCACACAAGCCACTATAAATAAATGTATTTTCTTCCTTTTGAAGCTAATGAATGGAGCTCTCTTGCAAATTTTCTGTATGGAGTGACTCCTACAAACCCTAGAGTGATTCTAGAACCCTTGGAGTGATTCCTTGGGATTTCTCTCTTTTTTCTCTAACCTTCTCTCTCTCTCTCTCTCTATCTCTCTGTCTGTCTATTCCTCTCTCTTTATGTCTTGTGATAGTTTATTCCAGCCCTAATACATCATTATGTGTAGGTAGCATTGAGGTAGTGAATGTCTAGAAGCTAGCCCTATATTTAGCCCCCTGCTAAGTTGGGCATTTGGACATAGCTGTTCAAATGAAGAATTGATAAGATAGTATCTATGGATAGTTATAAGGCCAAACGTATTATACTTGTGTGGGTCATTCATTTAGTTTTGTGTTTCTGGTGCTTTCAACCATCCTTACAATTAATGATGCTATTCATAATTTGGTTCATGCATCCAAAGGCTCCAATTCAAATCTTAGAGTTCAAAAATAATCCATCAATTATTGTTCAAATCTTACAGATCTAGTTGTAAAAATTATACTTTACCTGATTCTGTCATAAGAAGCAAGAAGGCATCATCATCAAAGACAAGCTGGCTGTTGGAGTTACAGATTGGGTAAAAAAGAAGTGGAAATTAATGGGTGTTAGTTGACCCTATGATTAGAGGCTAGCAAGTGGTTGCTAGTTTTACACCCTAGACAACCTTTATTACTGCCTTGCAAGAATGAGAACTACCAGACACAATGGGTGGAGATGAACCTTGATGTCTTTTACTATTGTACTCATCTTTCTCTTTATTTTAATAAATTGATTCTGTTATTGATTAAAAAAACCTTGATGACTTTTATGAAAGAAGGGAGTTCGAATGGCTAACTAGGGGTTTAGAAATTCAGCTTCAATGGGTGAAGAGAAGTGCAAATTCCTTTGTGGATACTCTAGCCAGGTGGAGGGTGTTTGTCAGGTGGTTATAGAGAGGTTAGATGTATTGGCATCCAGAATGAAACAGGTTATTCAGATGGATTGTAAGATTTGCTGATTCTTGTTTAGACAATCTTGCAATAGAAGTGATTGGGATGGTTGACTTGTTTTGAGTGACTTGTCTTTGAGCATCTAGACTTTGACCTTTCCATCCTGATTTGCCAAACTTCTTGCCCTGTATGGCAGGTTTGCTCTTATATTTATGGTTGTGTAAATATGATAGGAAGAAATTAGCTTATTAAGTATTTTCTGTTAATTGCTAAGAGTTTCTTAGTGATTATTTATCCAAAAAACAGTGGCCTAGTGATTACTTGTCCAAAAGAAGAGTGGCTTAGTGACTACTGCCCGTATTAAAGATTGAATACTGTTGTGTCCATATCTTAAGTCACAGTCACACTAATTTCAATCAAGCTGATGCCTTGCCTTATGAGTTTTCAGATTCTTGAAATGGACACTTACAGGTACCATGGGCACTCCATGTCAGATCCTGGAAGCACCTATAGGACACGAGATGAGATTTCTGGAGTGAGACAGGTTGTTAATTTCACAATGTTTAGCTTCTAAATTGAAATTATTTTTTTGATAAATCTTCTAAATTGAAATTATTTTTAATCTTTGGCCATATGAACTTAAAGTTACCTTTCTCCTCTGGCTTGTGATTTACAGGTGCGTGATCCAATTGAAAGGATAAAAAAGTTGATAATATCTCATAACCTAGCAACTGAAAAGGAGTTAAAGGTATTTATTTTGCACAGACTTTAAATGTTTATTTTTGGTGATTTTAGATTCTTGATTTTCAGGGCTAACTTTATTTGTCTTGTCTGAAATCTGAATGGGTTTTGTCTGGATATAGAAAGCCTTTTTGATTGTTGTCTGCATTTATGTTCTCTCTTTATTACTTCAAGGTTGTAGGTTTGAGTTATGAATTATGTGTTTCAACAAAACCCCAAAGTCTGAGCATAGTTCAGAGCTAGGAAATAAGGAGGAAACTCATTGTGTCAGAAGATTGAATTTTGCAATAATTTTCTTTTTTCAGGATATTGAGAAGAATCTCAGGAAAGAAGTAGATGAAGCCATTGCTCAGGCTAAGGTAAGAGGCCATATGTTGTGGATATTGCTGACTTATTCTACCATAGATCCTAGCTATGGTTCTGGACATGTATATTGGCTTTTCCTTATAGGGCAAGATTTTTCATTGTTGACCTGGTTCTGTTATCGATGCCACTTGTTTTCTCATGTTTTCAGGAAAGTCCCATGCCCGATCCTTCTGAACTTTTCACCAATGTTTATGTAAAAGATTTTGGACTTGAGGTAAGTTCCATTTCTCTGCTATCATTCTTTCTTAGTATGGTTATGTTTATCTGTTTTAATGAGAAACAGGGAGAGACTCATGGCCATGTTTAGTTTGATAGACAGTAAGAGAGAAGAAAGTCGAGGGAAAGTTCTTTTTTTCTCAACTTTCTGTTTCTCTCTTACCTTCTATCAGACCATATACAACCTAAACACCAAAAACAAGGTGGAAATTAAAAAAAAAACTTAAATAGAAATACTTGGTTGTATGTTTTTAGATGGGTTTATAAGAGGTGTTTTCCTCAGAGTTCAATTCATTTTTTGAATAGTAACAATTGTTTACATTTTTACAGATAAATATATTGAAAATAATGATTATTATACAAATGAAATAGTAATCATGTTTACCATATAGATGGAGAACATTGGTTGGCATTAATTACAGAATAGAAGAGTTAAGACTAACTTGGCTCCCCTTGTGCAGGCATTTGGAGTAGATAGGAAGGAAGTCAAGGTCGTTCTTCCCTGAAAGGAATCGAAGTTTCAACTTTCCACTTTCAAGGACGATTTAACCAAATTCCAAGAAATAAAAGGTTAAGCGGCGGTTGATGATTATTGGCTTTTCCCATCCTCAAGAAAAAAGGAAACTCCAAAGGATAAAAGAGTCAATAGCTGGACTGAATCAAATGGGCTCCATTTAGAGTATTCTGGATTTGATTTTTTGTTTTTTGTTTTTTGTTTTAAATTCTGCCGCAGGCTACGCAAGAATGAATTTCAATATGATATTGAAATAAAAGTATTACAAATGACAGTTTTGGGAAAGAAATAATAGTTTTGATTTTATGTTTCTCTTAAAGAAAATTTCCAGAGGTTTCATATTCATATATGATAATTGAAATTCAACTAATAATTTCAAACTACTTCCCCCTATCTTTTGTTCATCCCGCTTCAGATTTGCACTACAAACTAACAGAGCCCGAGCCTAAAGAAAGAACTCAGCAAGCACAATGCATTGTGTTCGCCTGTCGTAGAATTACAGAGCCAGGTGGTCATTTGAATGGGCAATATTTCTATGGGTGGCGGAAAATTTCTTTTACAACCATTTGAAAGTGTCGTCTGAAATGAAGATGAAGCGCATCATCCTTTCTGCTCCGCTTGCCGAGCCCCGAAATCTGGGGATTAATGGAAGTTTAGGATGAGTAGACTATGGTCCTGATCAGATTATAATCCTTTCTGCTCTGCTTTTAAGTTTTTAAATGAAAGCTAAATGCACATATGCATTGTATTTTGTGAGTTCTACCTACGTTGTTTTAGGGGTTGGGGGGTTATTTTAGAATTCACATCTCCCACTCAATAAGGGCAGCAAATTCATTGCTGTTATATTGGTGCCTTGAATTCTTTATTGTGATCTGCTTTATGACCTTCTCTGAATTAAGTCGAGAAAACCTTATAGCAAAATTTGGTGTTTCAGACCCCATCCATATTCAACTTCTGAGTTAGACCTGAATACAAACAGTTAGGTAGTTTGGGAGTTTCTCTTATATATAGCTTTTTGGTTTAAACAAAAGTTGAAAGGTTGTGTACAACTTTGTACTCTTCATCATTGTTGATTTTATAATTGATTTAGAGCATATGCCGAATTATGTAAATCTATGTATTCTCTGTGTTTTACTACTCTCTATCTCAATTTATACTTCATTTTTGGGTGCCACTTGAATCTATATTTTCAGTTTTGCACAACAATTACAATACTAATTGTTTGTGGGGGTCGGGGGGGGGGGTTCACCCTGTACTGGAGTTATCTTCAATTGGCCACGTGGCAAAGGATTTAGGGAGAGAGGAGCTAGAAAAGCTAGAATCAGTTACGATTTCTAGATATTAAAGAACCTTCATCCGAGCTATTTAGATGAATAGTTTGAGCATTTCTTAATTAACTATATTTGCCAAATGCACATTCATACAGCAAGAGCTTAGAACACATATCCTGTTGAGCTGCGGCCATATATTTTACTGAAAAGGAAGTATATGGTGAAAGCTCAAATTTAGCTGCTGGTTGAGAACAAGATGGGGTGATCAGCTCCACCTGTTTCCAAATCCAAACCTCCTCAGCACAAGGACAACTAAAATGATGCCCAGCTTCTGTTGCTGAAAGGTCCCAAGAAGAATATATTGTTAATTATAGGTTTTGTAATGGTGGTTCTTTCAATAATAACTTCCTTTTTTTTTTTTGGCCATGGGACAGGGGGAGACAGGACCCACATAGGGGTGGGGGCATAAGGGTTTGTTGGGTTCAGGCCGAGTTGGTTTTTTTTTATTTGATAAGTGGCCGGGTTGGGGTTGAGCCAACCTGTACCAAATCCAACCCATTGGTATATTATAATTGAATTACTTATAACTATAGCCTTCACTGAATATGAGGGTACTATTGGTGGGATGGGATGGGCGGATGGGTAGGGTTCGGTGTCCCATTTTATTTAGTCAGATTACATTTGAGCTGTTGACATCTTTAGATTTGGAAAGAATTAAAGCATTTGTCTCACCGTACGACTACTTCTCTCCTTCCCTAAAATGAAGGAATGGGCCGAAAAGGCAAAATACATGTGGTTAAAGTTAAACATGCCCTTATTAGGGTAAGGGTAAAGGGAAGTATGTACTTTTTAAGCCCCATTTGGTTCTCGGGAATATGGGTTTGGAATCTGAATTCGAATGGGTTATTATGATTCTAATTGTTTGATTTGGCAGAATTTAAATCCCATTTCCATTCCTGATGGAATGACATTTTCTCATTTGAGGGAATGGCCATTCCCTGCCCCTTTCTTGGGAATGAAATCTCATTCCTGCTGATTTTAATTCACATTCCCATTCCTGTCTGAACCAAACAGACTATAGGAATGGATCATTCCAATTCCAATTTTAGAAGATTTGGATTCTGATTTCGGTTCTAATTTCGACTGCAAACCAAACAGACCCTTACATCTCCAACGATAGAAAAAAAAATCTTAGCTAAAGGATATGTTTTTTTTTTGGGGTGAATGACGGTTCAGCTTAGGATCAGAATTTTTAGGCCCAAATTACAGTTGGGGTGGGTGCCAGCTCGGAATTGATGCCAATTTATGGGTGGGCATTGGTGTATAGAGTGGGAATTTGACATTTTGAATGTTTATAACTCTGCATTGAGCCTGTCCGTACTTTTCTGTTTTTTTGGGTTAATTATGTAAAGTCAGTAAAGTATGACATAATACAAGTTGGCTATGGTTCGAGTTGTAAAACATGGTATGGTTGTATGTGGGTATTCAGAAACTTCAGGATGTTATGTTGTAATGCTTTAGATTGGGTGTTTCTTCTGGTTTAAGGACCCAAGCCCTTCTAATGAATGCTATTTTTGTACCATTTATAAAAATGGGGATGTTAACAATTTTTAGTCAAAAAGCCTTTTTTTACTTTCCCTTTTTATCCTTTATGATTTTTGTTTTTTCAGTAATTTATTTAACTATTATGATTCCTGAAGCCATATGCTAATTTTTAGTCAAAAACCTTGATTTTACTTTCCCTTTTTACCCTCTATAATTTTTGTTTTTTCAGTAATTTATTTAACTATCATGATTCATGAGGCCACACGCTGTCCATCAAACTTTTTCCAATGATAAAAACTGAGAATGCAAACTATTAACATGGTTGTATCTTGATTCTACTTTCCATCTTTACTCTTAACAATTTTTGTTTCCCAATGTTCTTTTTTGATCATTCAAGTATTTGATTTTATCATAAATGGCTACTTACACTCTTCGGTGCTGACCTTATTGTTACCTACTATTTTCATTTAATTCATTACAATCGTCCGTAAATTCTCATCAATTACACATGAAACATAAGGACTGCTAAATGGTGATTGGAGATTTGAGATCCCATAACCAATAATTTATCGGTATTTATGTTTTTATTGAAATCATATATCAACCAATTATTCTATAAATTCACCTTGATATTTAAAATAAAAATTAAAAATTCATGAACGTTACTTAGGATTAACATAATGCATGTGAAATCATCTAAACACCAAAACTTGAAAACAATACAAAAGACACCTCTTATTGAATTAATATTAATTTTAGTTAGATAATAAGAATCCTATTATGGGCTTAATATTAATTTAGTACTAAAAACTGAGAATGTTGCAATGGGTTTGGGCAAAACACCTTGATTTTATTTTCCAATTTTACCCTCAAATTTCTTTTTTTTCCCATTGTATATATTGCCATTGCAAAATCATTATGAAAAACATAAAATGAAGAAAATAATATAAATTACAAAAAAAAACAAAGAAATCCATAGAAAAGTTACTAAAAAATATAGAAATTTCTATACCATACTAAAAAAATGAGAATGTTGCAATTGGTTTAGTCCACCAACTTTACCCTCAACTTTCTATTTTTTCCCATTGTATATATGTCATTGCAAAATAATTATGAAAAATCGCATAAAATGCAGAAATAATATAAATTACAAAAAACAAAGAAATACATAGAAAATTTACAAAAAATATAGAAAATCATAAAAATTAAAGAAAATAACATAAATTACAAATCTATACCATACTAAAAATGAGAATGTTGTAATTGGTTTGGTCAAAAAACCTTGATTTTACTTTCCAGCTTTACCCTCAACTTTCTATTTTTTTCCCATTGTAATATTGTCATTGCAAAATAATTGTGAAAAAAACACAAAAATTGAAGGAAATAAATTACAGAAAAACATAGAAACATAGAGAAAATTTACAAAAAAATATAAAGAATCACAAAAATTGAAGAAAAAATAATTACAAAAAACAAAGGAAAACTATAAATTACAGAAAATGAAGAAAAATAGTAGAATAAAATGAGAATTTATATCTACTACCATATATAAAAAATAAAAATGATCCAATTAGCGTGGTCGAAAGACCCTGATTTTTCATACCAATTCTACCCCTTAGTACATAAATTCTAGAAAAGTATAACTATAAAAAATACATAATATACAAATAAATATAGGAAATGTAGAAAATAGCATACATTAAAGAAAAATAAAAATGCAAAATAATTATGAAAAAAAATAGAAAATGAGGAAAATAATATAAATTACAAAAATAAAGAAATACACAAAAAGTTACAAAAATATAGAAAACCATAAAAATTGATGAAAAATAACAAAAATTACAATAAATAAAGAAAACGATAAATTACAGAAAAATGAAAAGAAATTGTAGAATAAAACAAAAAATTATAGAAAAATATAAAAAGTGAAAAAATATAACAAAAATTGCACAAAAATACAAAAATTTCATTCCATGGGCCCTATACATGTTTGTCAATTGGGCCCACGTCTTATAAAGGCATTTGGCCACTGGGACTGTATAATGTGTGTGGCTGTTAAGTAGGGCCTGCAACTCATGTCCTCAGTCGTATGCAACACTTTGACACCTTATGAATCGTTCGATTGTTTTATTCTTGGACAAATGTGTGAAAATGATCAATGTGCCTAGAAGATGTTTACATACATATTACTCTAGTGGTTGGCTGATAAATTTTGCTTCCAACTACTTTCTTTATTTCCTTTTTAGTTAAAAAGTAAGAAGAAAATATTTTTTGGGCTTAAATGTAAGTTATTTAATAATCATCTTAAATATGAATTCTGCTATTCAATAATTAATTGAGTAAATTAACATAATAGTTTAGTTTACTTCTAATCGTTAATAGTAATTATTTTCATAGGTTTTAAGTTATTGCAAAATAGGAGATCAGTTAAGAGTGGCATCTCCAATTCTCCATAAATTTTGTGTTTCATTATATATATAACTTTATAATTGATTTGGTGCA